CGCCTTAAAGGCAAAGTTCGGGCTCAGACCCACCTAAGAAGCCCTTACCATGGCTAGAAGTGCTGGGTACGCAAGTGCAAAGGTAGCGCCACCTTTCTACATCGAAACGCGTCACTAGGACCCTAGGCGCCATGGACTTCTAACAGACTCCACGGTCCGCCCACCGCCGATATCTTGTCTCGTCTGCGTCGTTTTGATCTGCTATGCTCTCTCTTCTCGGACTTCTCTACCGCTCTCCGCGCTCACATTATCTCTCATCTCCCTGCCGGCCTTTTGAACTTCTCCGCAGCGTAGAGCAAAAGGCTCGTATTTCCTGTGTATTTCACGATTTTTTTCCTTTTTTCTCCACTGGCGGTCCACTCCCATCCTACTTTCACATTTGAGTGGAATTATCCATCAATTTAATCCTGATTCTTGCCTTTAAGCAATGAGAACACCATCAACAGCTCCGAAACTTTCAACGAGATAATGATTAACGCCTTCGTTCGACTCTCTACCTACGCATACGAAGAAGAGCGATGGTGAATTAATAAAAAGAAAACGGATGAAAATAATTATCACGAATTCACTGTTTCGGTGCAAATTCGTACTTGTTGAGAAACCACCACCAATTATGTGCGTACAGTAATATATTGTTTCCTTTCAAAGTAACTCTCTTTGAGCTAGGCATTTTTAGTAAAACCTGACCCCATTTCCATACTAGCGTTCATCGTCACACAAAGGGATCCAGCCGGGAGAAAAGATGCCTTCCAAAGTACCTCTACATCTTCATCTGTAATACCGTAACCGAGCAGCTCGATCGTGATAACTTGACGGCATTAGCGAATTGCTGTTGTAATTCCTAACAACTCAAGATACCATTAATCTCTCTTCTTCAAAAGGCCGCTGATAGGATCACACTTTATGGCACAACAGATAGACAATAATGTTAGAAATGGTTAGACTTCTTAACACAACTTTATTACCTTAATGAATTGTCCTCACTACTGGTTGTAAGGATAGGATAACATCTCCATTAGATTCCATTGTACACAAAGGCCCAAACATCGATCATTCCCTATGCTACAAATTCCACGCGTGATTCAGGGCCAAACCCTTTATCGAACCACGATCATCATAGAAATAGGCGTGAAAGGAGGACAAGTTGAGAAAAACTCAAAAGTCGCACCTTTTGACCCCAATTTTTGGCAAACGCCAACTTATATGGGCAACCCATGATTCTAAAATGGTCCTTGGTCCTGATAGTGAATACGGTAATCATTTCTTGGCGCTGGTACCATTTTGCGACTTTTGCAAGCACTAATCTGAAATGCAAAACTTTTTCACCACGGAGAATCGAAGCGTGAGTCAATCTTTTCATCACTTTTTGACGTTCGCAGGGCCGCTCAGAAAAATAAAATGACCGTAGTTATACGCTCTGTCCACATTCTCTTACTGAATGAAA